TTCAATCAGTGAATTATGAATTTCAATATGTAAGTCTAAATTTATCCTTCTTTGTTAAGTTGATTTCTAGGTATTTGATGGTTGTGGACACTTTGCAAAGAGGCTCTTATTTCTTTTACTTCTGGCTTATTATTTGCAAATGGAAATGCCACAGATTTTTTCCTCCCAGTTTGGTTGTTGGTTTTGTTTAAAGACGTTTTGCTAAATATCTTTAATAAATGTGTTGTGAAGAGAAGCCATAGGCTATGTTCATCAGGCACATTCTTTAATGTGCATTTAGAAGATGAGCTTCAAGCTGTGCAGCCAGACTTCAACATCCTTTTTTTGGCGGGGGGTGGGGGGGGTCACACCTGGTGATGCACTTAGGAATTACTCCTGATTGTGCCCAGGGGACCATATGGAATGCTGGGAATTGAACCTGGGTCAGCCGCATGCAAGGCAAATGCCCTGACTGCTGTGCTATCGCTCCAGCCCCTTTATTTCAATATCTTGATCTAGCTATAATACTAGTAGTAATTGATAGTTATTATTGGGGCTTGATTCAAATTTTAGGCAACTTACTACTATTTTTCTTTCCTACTTTGATGATTGAAGGAGTGTTCCCTGTGTTCTAATCCATCTCTAAGTCAAGAATTTGCTAAAGTACTTTTTTTTAATTGAATCACTGTGAGATACAGTTACAAAGCTTTCATGTTCGAGATTCAGCCGTTCAATGATTGAACACCCATCCCTCCACCAGTGAACACTTTCCACCACCAGTGTCCCCAGTATATCCCTCCCATCCCAGTCCTCACCCTGCCTCCATAGCAATCTATTTCCCAATACTCTCTGGGCATTATGTTTTGCTTGAATTTTGGGCATTATGTTTTGCTCGAATTTTGGGCATTATGTTTTGCTCGAATTTTTCCATCACCATTCAAGCCTGCCTGCCAAGGGCAGATGCTAGATCATTTATTGTCCACTGCTCATTTTGAATATCATGGGTGCTGCAGCCATGCGCTTCTGGAATCCTGGAAGTAGATGGTACAGTTCCAGAGACATTTCTGTAGGGCAGTAATCCATTTTGGGATTCATTTAGGTGTCTCTGGACCAGGGCTGTTAGTGCACTACAATGGCACCCAGAGGCACATTGTGGGCATGACAGCCAGGCCAATGAGCAGGCAGGGAGCCAGAGAGAGACATCCCAGTGCCTCTGCTGCCGTGTGGCATGGAGATTTAGTACTGGAACCCGCATACCTGGGCCTTGCCTGTGGAAGCTCTTGGTCACTGGGATTCCATCTGGAGTAGGCAGGGAGATTGCACCTACTCCATCTGGAGAGCTCTGGTGAAATTGGCTCGGTATGGGGCCCTGAGAGATCTCCAGCTCTGTGGTATCTTCTGGGACTCGCTGTTGTAAATTACATTTTTATACAGACTTTTGGTTTTTTTTTTTATTCTATCCCAGTTAAGTCCTAGACCAAGTTCAAATAAAGTTTTATAAGATCTCTCCATTATATGTTATTATTTAAATGTTTGAAACTTTAAAAAACACCTTGATTTACAGAGTTGTTAATAATACATATGTTTTAGTGTATTGAGTATTTCATTGCATCTGTGACATTCCCTGCATCACTGTCCCCAATTACCTTTCCACCTACTCCCCAGTACTACCTCCTTAAGCAGGCACAAAATAATTTACTTTTTATTGCTCATTACAGTATCTCATATGGTGTTAATAGTCATTGAGTCACTGAGTTGATTTGTGCTAGTTGAACTTTCCATGTTAATGTAGTTTACTCATCGAGTTTAGTGGGCTTCTGTGAAACTCTCCCATCTCAGTTTCCGTGCTCCCACTGGACTCTCTGTTCTGTGGAATTTGCCACTGTGAAACAGGAATGATTCAGTAGCTTGATTTCTGGAATCATTCATGGCACTGGGCCTTCCACAGGTCTGGGATTCACCTGCCCCATCTCATGGGCTCAAGAGACCAGGCCTGCCTGATTGGGCTCAGCTGTGGCATCTTTCCGATATCCTGTGTGGGACTGGGCTTTGCATGGGCTAACCAGAAATGTCACCAATTTTTGTCTGTTAATTTTGTAGCCTGCTACTTTGCTGAACTGGTTTTTTTCTAAAAGTTTTTTTTGTGTAGTCTTTAGGGTTTTTAACGCATTGTTTCATGGCATCTGCAAATAGTGATAAATGACTTCTTTTCCAATTTGGATCCCTTTGTTTTTTTTTTTTTCCGATTGCTATGATAGTGACTTCCAAAACAATGTTGAATAAGAGCAGTGAAAGTGGACATCCTTGATTCGTGCCCGATTTTGGGGGAAACTTTCAGATTTTTATCGTTGGATGTGATATTGGAGCAGAGACCTAGATGCAAACGGGAAGAAGATAGTGGTAGATTGGACCCTGGAGTGAGGAAGAAATCTGGGGTCAAGAATTTCCTTTTTCTCCTTTAATACACAAAACACAGATGAAAAATAATGGTGCCATTCATATGAGGTTTGTTTAGGGGGATGGGAGGCAAAAAGGGCTTGTGAGAAGATAATTAACTACACTTTTGGTATGTCGGATTTTACGTACCTTGAAAAATCTACACTACACTTGATCTTAGCCAAAAGGTGCAGAGTAGGCATATAGATTTAGGAATCTGGAGCTCACAGCCAGAAAATGAATTTGAGAACCAGCTGCTAAGTGATACCTCAATCTTTGGGAAAGATAATACAGATTAAAGATAAATAAACCCATATGTTTACATACACCTATGTGTACCTATTTTCTATCCTTTTAACAAGTACCTAATGTGTTCCTATATTATTACTTTTGCTCTTAGTTTTCGTATTTTCACTTTTTTTTTTAACTTGAAACAAAGACTTTGGAGCTTTACGTTATTAAGCTTTACATATACATATAGTGTCTGACACTCACCTCTGTGACTTGCATATGTATGTTTCCAAACTTGCTTGTCAAACAGGGAAAAATTGATCACTGGTATGAATTCTATTTCATTTTTGACACATCTCTTTTGTTTTTTAACAAGAATGAGTTTCCTTTTTTTTTTTCTCCCTTCCTTCCATTGATCCATAGGGCTTATAATAAGTAGATCAACTTAAGGTCTTACTAAGGAAGTTTTATATACATGATCTAGCACCTTTACTTAACACTCAACTGAAACTAAATCTGAACCTTGTTAGGGTCCACCTATTTGTCAATACACACTAAAATTGTTCCTTGTATCCTTTTGTGGGGGGGGGGGTCCCCTTACCCAACAGTGCTCAGGGCTTACTCCTGGGTAATCTAACCTGGGTTGGCCCTGTACAAAGCAAGCGCCTCTCTGTCTTTCTGCCCTGTATTCCTTTGTTTTGTAGTGGGTTTTATTATAGAAGCTTGATGTCAAATCTTTAAATAGTCCTTAAGTGAAAATTTGATAGTTTTTCTGCACAATGGAATACTATGCAGCTGTCAGGAGAGATGAAGTCATGAACTTTTATTTATAAATGGATAGACATGGAGAGTATCATGTTAGGTGAAATGAGTCAGAAAGAGAGGGACAGACCTAGAAGAACTACACTCATTTGTGGAGCATAAAACAACATAACATAAGGCTGACACCTAAGGATAGTAGATACACGGGACAGGTAGATTGCTCCATAGCTGGAAGCCTGCCTCATGAGCAAAGGGGAGAAGGCAGCTGGAATAGAAAAGGGATCACTAAGAAAATGATGGCCTGAGGAACCGGTCAGGATGGGAGATGTGTGCAGAAAGTAGATAAAGGACCAAACATGATAACCTCTCAGTATCTTTATTGCAAACCATAATGGCCAAAAGGAGAGAGAGAGTATGGGGACTATTGTCAGCCATGGAGGCAGGGGGGAAGGTGGGAAAGGGTGGGGGTATACCAAGGATATTGGTGGTGGGGAATGTGCACTGGTGGAAGGATGGGTGTTTGATCGTTGTGTGATTATAACCCAAACATGAAAGCTTGTGACTATCTCACAGTGATTCAATAAAAGTAAAAAAGAAAAAAGAAAATTTGATAGTTTTTTAGCTCTTAAAAGTTAATATTTTTTTTCAGTTTATTCCGAAATGAATTTGTGATTGAACGAGACTCAGCGTCTTTTGAATTTGGTTCATCTCAATACAACTCCCAGGGCTCTATAATTCTTCCTGCCCAGGACCTGTGTTTGCCGACTTACTTTCTCTCTTCACCCTTCTTTTTCCCATCATGATAGTGAACTGCTAGTTGCTGTTTCATTTCTCTTGGACATTTATACTCTTGAAGTCATCTATTTTCCTGAAGTGGCTTTGATCTTCCTCTGAGCCTGTGCACTGTGAGTTCCCAGATACCTGCCATAGGCTGGCTGGTAAACAACCTTTTTAAAACATGGAATAGATCCTGATACTTGGGATGAGTATTTATTATCTTCCTATGACAGAAGTTTAAAGCCTCAGGCTCACACTCTGTTTTGCATCCCTTTTGCTGCCTTTTAACGAGACTTTCTTGGAACTGGAGAGCTGCTGTCCCGTGGGTGGTGTTAAAGACTAGTCTTTTCTCAAATAAAAATGATGGCATATACATTGTGTTAATGACTACTTTATCTCATTGATCCATTTTGGCTCCAGTATCCTGTAACTGTTGGACAAAACCCACAAATACAATATAGGTAAACTTCTCGTCAGTGGTTATATATCCTAAATGTTGCTTGTAAGGTTAGGTTAAGTGTCTTTAAGTCTTGAAACACTTTGAACCCAATGAATATCTCATCCAGCCTTGAAAGGGCAAGTGTGTTCAAAACAGCTAATACTCTTTGCTGTTTTAGTTTGTGTGTCTTCAGCCGAGACCTTAGTGTTCATCCCCTTAGATGCTGCCACTAAAATAGCATTGTGTTGAGACAAAATTTTCATGCAGTTCTTCTATTGAATATTTCAGGAGTTTTTGTTTCTTTATCCATTTCTTTATAAAAAGCAGCCACTATACTTTTCAGTAGTGAATTTCAAAATCCTTTTTAACCTTATAGGTCCCAGGGTAGCCAAGGATGGCTGCAGCTTCCTATGATCAGTTGTTAAAGCAAGTTGAGGCCCTGAAGATGGAGAACTCCAATCTTCGACAGGAGCTGGAAGATAATTCCAATCATCTTACCAAACTGGAAACTGAGGCATCTAACATGAAGGTATCAAGACTGACATTCAATTGTAGTTTATCCATTTTCACTCAGTATTCCCTCTTGGAAACTTGAGGTCAGATGCTCTAGTTACTTAAAAGTCAATTTTTAAAACTTGGGGATCCTAGCTGTAGTCAGGACTCAGGGATCAATGCTCAGGGTTCCCAGGAACTGATGTTGGGGCCCACACACATGCTAGGGCGTGCTCTGCCCTTGAACTGTCTCCCTGGCCAAAATGTAGTTTCAGTTAGCAGCAATGAGTAAACTTCCCTTACAAAGTTTAGCAATGTCATTTAAATAGTATGTGTTAAATGTATGTAGTTAGTTGTGGAAGCTCCCGTTGGCATCCCTGCACCGATGTTTACAGCACCCAAGTTCCCCACAGTCTTCCCCACTTCTCCCGGACCCTGCAGGTGGAGAGAGCCGAACTGACAACCCACTCCCTCTGAGAACCTCTCTGCAGCTCCTCAAACTTAGATGCCTCCAGAGAAACAGAAGCTTTGCCCAAAGGCCCGGATTGGTTCCCAGATAACACTGAAAAGCTGTATCTCCAAGAGGAAAATGAAGTGTCTGGAGGGCAGTGGAGGGCACTGGTTATGTTCTCAAAATAATGAGATTAAAACCTTACATGTAGTTTTATTTGTAAGGGCCCATACTCGGAGGTGCTGGGGAAGGGCTTGCAATGCTGGGGACCCAACTCAAGGTTTCACCACGCTAAGTATGTGTTCTGCTAATTGATTTCTGGGATCAGAACCATATTTTAATAATATTTTAAATCTTTAATTTCTACATGGTAGATTCTCTTCTCACTAGATGTAATAAATATATAGAATTGGAGATTACTAACTGAATTGTTAGTTGCTTCCTTCGCTTGTAAAATCTTTTTCTGTTTTGTCTTCATTCTAGCCCTGTGCTGTTTTAACACCTGGGTCCCTGACTTCTGTCTGTTCACTACTCTTCGGCCTTGTTAGTTTCCTATTCTACTTTATGCATTTGGAGGTGTTTCTTATCCTTAGTTTCTGTGTTAGCACTAAACAGTTTTCTGCTCTTTACCTTTACAGTCACGTCTGCAAAAGTCTTTTATGCATTTGTTCTTTAATTCTTTTTTCTATTTACATATTTCTGTTTCCTACTCTCATTTCCTGTTTCTGTTCTAAAAACTATACTTATCAATGACTAATCTCCGAGGTACCTACCTCACATCCCTTTTGAAATAAGTCAGGCTGTAAACAAACAATTTTTTTTTCTTGACTCAAGCTCTGAATGACGTTAGAAACTAAATTGGTGACTTAATATGTTTTGTTTTGTTAAAAAAGAACAGTTTGGTATTTTAGTTCTGATCATCCTTTAAAGCTTATAGGTGCAAAATAAAAATTCCCCACAGGCAACTCTTTCATTGTGTGGCAGCACAGTTCAGGGTCTCACCATGGCAGGTCCATCTGGGTGTATGTTGGTTTGGGTTTGTTTGGTACCACGCCCAGTGAACCAGCTGTTGGCTCTGCTGGCTGGCTCCAGGGCTAAGTCTCCTGGTGCACATACTCTGCAGACTCTGACCCTGGGCGTCTGTTGCATAGGGCAGACTCCAAGATCCCTTCGACATTTTGTTTTATTCATTGAGTGTAGAGTTCTCTTTTAGGTAGAACTTTAGCCCTCCTTTAGATTCATCCCCATGTTGAGATAAAATTCTGAGCCTTCACCAGTGTCACCTACCTCAAAGTGTAATGGGATATATACACTGTGACACTGGTTCCTGAGAGATGTCTGAGCTCAGCCAGGCCTTGTTTTACCAATTTGTTCTGTACTCATCCTTAGTACCTCATGCCCATGTTTGTTTGGGTTTGTGCATATGGCACAATGTCAGTTATAACTTCTTTTTTCTTTTTTTTTTTTCAATTTTTATTAGTGAAACACCACGAGGTACAGGTTTTTGTGCTTGGGTTTCAGTTATACAATGATTGAGTACCCACCCCTCCACCATTGCCCATTCCCCACCTCCAATGCTACCAGCATCCCTCCCACCCCCCACCCTTCCATCCCACCCCACCCCTATGGCGGCAGTTATAACTTCTTGATGAAATTATTTATGTATCTTTTCTTCAGGGATTTTCATCTGTTAAAGAACAGGAAATGTGATTGTTTTTATCAGATATGTGGGACTATAGAGCGAGAGCCTGGATTTTGCTCTCTGGCACTGTCGACAGAGTGGTGGCCCCTGGGCACTGGGTCTGGTTCCAGTGACTGCCAGGCCCCAGAGCCAAGCACTAGGACATAATGCCCAGGATCCCTAAGCGTAGTCTGGACTCCAGGGGTCAAAGTTAATTCAAAACTGAGGTTATTTTCCCCCAAGATCACTTTATAGTTTGGGGGTGGGGGGGCACATAATCTTGAGTGTTTCCTGTTGACTATAAGGAAAATCTAGTTGTATCTTCATCAACTAGAAACTTCAGATGGGGTAAGGGGAGAGGGGTGAGGTCAGGGGTCTGAAATTTCCGCTGTGTCTCCTAGTGGCCAAAAGAATGCTGCTTTGCTCTTGATTGCACAGAATGGATACAAACTTGTGAGTTGGGATTCTACAAAAGGGAAATATAAAAGTTATATATTTGAGAAAATTGAGAAAATTCTTATTTTGTATGTATAATGATACCATGATTGTGTTCAGAAATCATATTTAAGACATACATAGTGAAATACAAGGTTGAAATATCAGGGTTAGGAAGAGATGATCCGATCATATTCAAACAGTGTTTTGAGTATAGATAACAGATCAGAGTTATATGTCAGAGGTTTTTGTTTTAGGTTTTCTATGCTTTATATGTATACGTTTGATTTTTTTTATGTGAGTAAAATAAAACGGGAATATCCTAGAATGACCTGCAACTAGGTACATGTGCAGAAACTTTAGCTAAACTTAATGGAAACTAATACCATAATTTCGACTGTAAGAGTCAGAACTCAGTGGGATTGATTTCAGAATGCCGAGCATGATCATGCATACAGTGTCATGTGGAAATAGGAGACCTTTAAGCTTAGAGATGATCTAGTACAAAAAGTCATCTGTTGGAAAATTAGTAATGAACCTTCCTTGTGTTTTGTCAGTGTAAATTCTATTTTCAGAATGTGGAGGATCACAGTCACGGTCCTCCCGTTGTTCATTGATTTGCTTGAGCGGGCCCAGTAACGTCTCCATTGGAGACTTTGTTGTTACTGTGTCTGGCGAATTGAATACGTCATGGGGGGCTTGCCAGGCTCTGCCGTGCGGGCAAGATACTCTCGGTAGCTTGCTGGGCTCTCCGAGAGGGGCAGAGGAATCGAACTCGGGTCGGCCATATTGGCTGTGTGCAAGGCAGATATCCTACCACTGTGCTATCACTGAAAGATTAAAAGTTGGATCAGTGGGTTTTAATTCATTTTCAAGGTTTCATTGTCTAGCAGTGAGTGGAATTGACTGGCAAAGAAAGGAGTCTGTAGCTGAAGTGGGCAGCTGAGCAGTACCCCCCCAATGGAACACTTGCTTATCTTACAGCAAATGATGTTCTGGTCACAGTATGCCCCAAACCTGCTTCATCTCTAAAGAATAATTCTAATGTTTCTAAGAACTTCAGATGTTTTTGCTTGATTATATAAATTTAACCAAACCTATAGAATTTATAAATGCAAATTGTCTCTCCACCAAACAAATTTACATATTAGTTTAAAAAACTGCATTCCCCAAACGCTTGAAATTGCTCCCTCCCCCCTGCATTGTGGGCAGTGAGGGGGCACAGTGGTTGGTCTCAGGGCTTGGCCGTAGTCCTTGTGCCCTCTGTGGAGGTGAGTGCCCTGCGCCTGGCCACAGTGCGCACATGCTCAGGGCAGCACCTGGACTCCTGGAGAGCAGGGGCTGTGCTCAGACCTGTGCTGGGCATCCGCTAGACCAGCTGTCACTAATGCAGATGGACCTGTCTCAGATGTGACTGATTTCCTTTCAAGGTAAACTTCAGAGCTTTGTACAGCAGGAGGCTAAAGACAGAAAGAAGTCTTTAGTTTTAGCTCTAATTTGCTAAAGATCAGAAACACTCAGGATCCAGATGTAAATCTCACATACCCTGTAAGCAAAACCCGATTTAGTTCCCGATCCAGGGAAGGACTGCCAGTGGGGTGTGATGTGCTCAGGAAACAGCCAGCTGGTGGCATCTCAGTGGCTGGAATACAATCATATTTAGAAGAAAAGAAAAAAATAAGGAAAATCTCATAATCAAGACAACAAATACATAATAAAAACAAATCCAAAGATAGTTTAGATGTTGGAGTTAACAGTCAAGAGTGTAACATACTTATACATGTCTTTTAAAAAAGATAGGCTGAATGAAAAGTCAGAAATGTTTGTCAGTTGGAATTTGTAATAGAAAAGTCAATTAGATCTTCTAGAACTGAGTATGTTTTTGGTATCAACTTTGTAAGTGTACTAAAAGGTAGTTAAAACACAGTTACTGAACAGAGAAGACATAGTTAGTGAACATGCAATGTATGTTCAATAGGAAATAACTAGATGGAAGCAGAGAGAAAAATGGAAACACAAAAAGTTTTGTCTACAACTAAGAATTTTGAGTAATGCAGACAAAATTAAGGCCCCAGAAGGAGCAAAGGAAAGAAGGGGGAAAAGATTTCAAAGAGATAGTAGCTGAGAGAGAGAGATCATACAGCAGGCAGGGCCTTTGCCTTGCACATGACCAACCCGGGTTCAATCCCTGGCACCACATATCGTCCACTGAGTGACCCAGCAGTGACCCCTGGGTTCAGAGCCAGGAGTGAACCCTGAGCACCACTGGGTGTGGCTCAAAAATTTGTCACTGTCACTGTCCTCCCGTTGTTCATCGATTTGCTCGAAAATAAAAGCCAAAAAATCGTGGCTGAGAACAAACGTAAGATTGTATGATAGACTAATAGACTAGCCAAAGTAATGTTTTTAAAAAGTCTACACAGATGCGGTCACTTGGTTTATGACCAAGACATGCCTACATATGTCTTTT